TCAATTTGAGTTGTGTGTCGAGATTATCTTTCGTCGCATTGACACTAGCATCGACCCATAGCAGAGTGAATGTCTCGAGGTTTCGTATTATTGATCGGGATGTCGTGTTTCCTGTTGGATGAGCAGGTTTGCTTTTGTAAGTCGAAGACATGACTGAAGTAAGATGAATGTATGAAATAAAATTGCTGATGAAAGTAAGTGTGGTTTACTATTACATTCGTCAAATTTATTTTGCGTAGTTTAGACGAATTAGTCATTTTGTGTAATAATATCTGTGTAATATGGGAAAGCCGTAAGAGGCATCATATATCTACCCGCACAAAGGACCTGAGACGCTGTTGGAAGCACAGTCATAGTGCTGCTTTAGCTGTATGTAGACGAATGAAAGCACACTAACATAGCTACCTGCCTTCTCCTCACTGCAGAAAATGACGACCAAAATAATTTTAAATTATAGTATTATGAAAGTTTGTTTGTCGATTTTCTTTCTGTTCGCGTTGTGACTGTCAATATTTGTGCACAGGTCATACTTGTGAAGATTGGGAAAGAAAGAAAAATCGAATGTGTGTTTAGTTTTCGTTGATAGCCGTTGCTGTATGGTGCCTTCCATGTCAAAAACGCTTATCATCACTTCGATATAAATAATCTTATATACAGCAATAAATAATTTTTTCTTATAGATCTTTATAATCATAATCCGTCTCCTAAAACAAAAGAAAAACAACTAACTAAAATAAAGAAGCTTTTTTGTTAACATACTGTTGTTGTTTCTATTTAACTTTTTAGTTTTGAATCAGAGACCGCCGCAGGCAACTTTTTTCGTTCTGTCCTGTCATAAACTTACTCATAAAATTCTTTTGGTCCTGCCTTGCCCTGTCTGGCTGGACAGGATGTCCTGCAGTGCAAAAGAAAGTTTTTCTCCTTAACCTAGAAGACTTTATCGTCAAGAAACTCATCGCAAATACTGGATGTGTTTTTCGTGCGTAACAGAATCCTTTTTTATTAATTCTCAATTTTAGAAAAGTTGGCTGTCATTTTTATTTTCACATATACGAGAGATCTCAAAATTTCAGTTAAAAAGAAGCTTGAAAATCTCAAAACTCCATCTCTCGCAGAGCAAATTAAGGAATTTTTGTTGCCCTGTTCTGCTGAAGGGTAAATCAAGTCATCAGGGCAGGGCGGCAGGGCAACAGAGTAGCCCTGTCCTGTGACGGTCCCTATTTTGAATTCATATCATCATCATTTGATTCATCTTCAACTTTTTCATCTAATGAAATCCCCACAGCTCGTCGTAAAACTGATTCAATACATTTAGCAAAATCAGTTGAATCTTCCAAATGATAACCAGAACGAAGTATTGCTATTTCAGCCATAACATGGGCAAAATCCTCGAAATACAATAGAATTAAAATCAAACAATTTCATTTGAAAAATTTTCATAACATACAAAAGTTGTTTTATCATTTTTTGAATCTTTAATACGACAAAGTGAATCTTTGATAAGTGGATGATGTCGATTGATTTCAAGTATCTTCGTTTGATTTAAATAATAATTCATTGTTGTATCACCACCACTCTTTTGATAAGCTTGAGTACTATCTAGAAAAAGAAATAAATTAACAATCCGACTTGATATTGCTATTAAATAAAGTATATTACACCGAATAAAATTAGCCAAAAATAATTTCAAATCGGTCAGTAATTTCTTACGAACTACGTCAAAGCTATCGCGATCCTTTAGAGATTAGAAAGATGATATTGATGAATTTTTGTTAATGTTCTAAGAAATTTTTCTAAACTCGCTAAGCAAAAAATGCAAATTTTCCCAAGTTTATGACGACTACTATGAACTTTTTTTCAAACTTTTTGCACATTAGTACTTTTCTTTTTCCTTCCTCTCATGATAGTTCTGCTAATTAATTTCGAATAGAAATAAAAACTTACCAATTCATTCTACATTTTCATCGTAATCCCATTGTGATACAACAAGAGCCATGAATCTTTGAACAAGACGATCAGATATTTTAACATTGTTTATTTTTTCTTCAAATTTATCTTTAAGCCATGTTAATAACGGTTCATGAGTTTGAGTCTACAGAAAGTTTTTCTTTTACTTTTTTACTGACGCTCTATTTTTTATTTGTCGCGTTGCTATTCTCTTGTTAATTTTTTTCTTTTTTCTTAGTTTCCTATTATTTTTACACTCATTATTCTAATCATTAATTTAACAAACAAAAAAGTTCGTTGTACACATTCATTATATCCACAACAGGTCTCTGCGCGTTATTATTTATCCGAGTAGCTCAGAAACACTGATAACAGTTGTTCCAGAAAGTTAGAACTTGATCAGCTAGTTCAAGCTTATTGTATTGGTCATACGACGGCTATGGCAAGTCAAAACATCACTAGTCACCATCTCTGATACGTATATAGTCATTTATCTCGCCAAAAGTAGGAACTGAACTATTTAGAACATTCAAAAAAAAAAAATTCGGAAAATTAGCCTATGTTCCGAAAAAATGTTTCTGCTCTTCTTTCTGCCAGTTTTGTAGAGCTCGACGTCCGTGTTCGAATGGTATCTAAGCGAAAATTTTGCATCTGGAAAGTCTGTTGTTCAAAAAACTCTGTTAACTCATCTTTTTCGCCTGCAAACAAAAAAGTGACATCAGCACGATCATCAGCGTCCTCGAATACCTATATACTGACACTCTTTACAACTAAAAACTCGAATTTCGGGAAGAGTGAGTTATTTTACAACGCTTGTATCTCGGCAAGGAGGGAAAATTTTTGGGGTTGCTTAGATACCACTCGAAAGCGGACGTCGAGCTCTACAAAACTGGCAGAACAAAGAACAGAAACATTTTTTCGGAAAATAGGCTAATTTTCCGAATTTTCGCCTCAAACATTTAGCCTAGAAAACTTTTCGGAAAACTCTAGTTTCCACGTAGACATATGTGCCCTGGGGTCCTCTTTCGAATGGCGGAGACCGCAGATCGTTAGCTCTTTTGGCTAAAAAGTTATTCAAAACATATCGACGGACACTAAATTTTGGCGGCGATAGTGATTAGCTGTACTCATTCAAGATACGATTTGATCCTTATATACAATGGGTTTTTAGACTGATACAATGTTGTACACAGTCGAGGAGGTTTAGCTTTTGTATGAGGTAATATAATGAGGTTATTTTCTAAAGAATAGATTTAGTATCAGCTATTCTGAGGAAAAGCATCCCAATATACATTTTCATAGAATAGCCAAACCTTCTTGGTCGTTTATATCATTAAATCATCCTACAAACCCACTATCAATAAGGACAAACTGATGGTTTGAAAGAGTAGAGTTAATTACCTTTGACACTGTATGTGATGAGTAATATTTTCTTTTAGTCTTCAAATAGTTAGCTAGCAAATCCAACCTCGTTCGTTTAGCGTCTTACACTTACATTATTTCGTAATGTGTTGACTCCTTTTCTAAATCGTCCACTTTCCGCCTAATTCATTTTCTATCTAATCTAAATCAATTCATTAAAAATATTCAATATTTAGAGATTTTTACTCAAGGAGATTATGATGAGATTAAGTATTATATTATTAATAATAGAGATGAGCAACTCTAGCTATGTGCCATTCCAAGTCCATATAATTCCATTTTAATTTTTCCAAACGACATTACAATTTCAATACTGCTTTTCAAAAAGCTTAATTCAACTATAATTTAACTTCAACTCAGTTCCGATTCTACAAAAAAACTATGTTTCAATACAATGAGATGTCTTTTGTGATTGAATTGATTTTTATGAAATTTAACCATTATTTTTTCCTTTGTCCCTTCTTTTATCATTTATATCTGAACGATTTAGCATATCTGGACGATTAATCCAGAATCGTGTTAATCTCAAAGCTAATGGGTTTAGCTATAGTATGTTCCTGAAAGACAAACTTTAATTAATTCTAATAGACCATATTTTAGAACAGAAAAAGAATATGTAGCGTCGAAATTTGAACTGTTGTTCATGACTCAGATTACTTTTATTCATTCGTCTGAAGAACATTTAGAAACACAAACATAAGCAAACAACATTTATTGAATTTGGAGGTGGTGCAGTGAAGAATATAGATTTAAGTAAGAAATATAGCACTGCAACAAAATGCATGTTCAAGTTATCACTTAAAACACTACTCGAGCTTTCGACCTTTATTCAAGGATCATCATCAAGAGTGAATGACAAAAAGAAAAAAGTGTACATATCAACAAAAATGTTTTGAAGAAGAACAGAAAGAAATGAAAAATGAAAAATTGAAATGCGCAATTTAAGAAATTCTTCTCTTTATGCTTTAGACAGTAATAAGTCAACAGTCCGTCATATGTGCAAGAAGAAGTCTATTTATTCTCACAAAGGAAGAATAAACCAAGGCAAAAGAAAACATGTACAAAATATCAGAACATGACAATTGAATAAATGTGATAGAAGAAGAACATCTATCCAAACACATTCAAATCGTGATCAACTTTGTTCATGAATTTTCCTTTCGAAAATTGAGAAAACAATGCCTCCTTAATTATTCTCTTCCGATAGCTAGTTTCAAAGGCCTCAATTTTTGCATTCTTAAAGTCCATCGTGTGTCCTAACTGCTCAACATGTTGAACAATTTTTGAGTTAGAAGAATGAAGTCTAACTTTATCTCGATGTTCATTGATTCTTATGGACCAATCCCGTGCAGTATGTCCGTAATATTTGTAATCACAGTCCATACAAGGTATGGAATAAACAAGATTTTTCTGTTTTTCGGTTACATCTAAACCTTTTTGTAAAGGTAGGAAAACATTCTGGAGAGTGAGTGTTTTCGTATAAGCTATTTTCAAATCAACAGTTGGCATCAGTTGACGTGCCAATTTCTTGATTCGTTGACCAAGTATCAATGTTTCT